CTCAGGGTCAACTTGGCAGAGAAAGTCTCTTTGCCTTCATATAAATCCTGAATGGAAACACTTTATCCCCCAGAATTACTTTCAGATTGGATGATTCTGAGTACCTAAATTAAAGATGACATTTATTGTTAATGAAGGTAAACTACTCCCTTAGATGAGAGAAAAGCGAGGGTGGAAAATTTCAATTATTTTTACAGACATGGAAAAAAAAGCTCAATATTGGGGTTTTGGCAAGTCCATTTATTATTATTTTTTTAATAGATTTGCTTAAACACACTGAAGACTTTTCTTTTGATTTTGGTTAAATTAATTTTTACCTGAATTTTTTTTTTTTTTTTCAACTTCGTTGTTGTGGCTCAGTTAGAAGAGTCAGTTGTCTCTTAACCGGAAGGTCGTGGGTTCGATCCCTATCTCCAGCAGCCACATGTCCGATGTGTCCTTGTGCAAGACACTCAACCCCATGAATGTGTGTATGACTTAGTTACTTCTGATGGTCACTTTCCATCGCAGCCTCTGCAATCAGTGTGTGAACTGGTGTGAATGTGTAGGTGTGATATGGGTGTAAAAGCACTTGTCATGACTTGAAAAGCGCGAAACAAGCTCAAGTCCATTTTACCATTTACTCTCTATAAATGAAGTTGTTGCTGAAAAAGCACCTTAACGACATTTGCTGTACAGTATAAAAGCATAAATATAATAGCACCTTTCAACTTAATATTGTTTTTGTGCCTCACAGAGAATAACACCCATACAGAAATAGTCAAAAGCAGAAACACGTTGTTGACCTTGTTGTGTAATTTGTTTGTTGCCGTGTTTTATTGTTATAGTTCAGGTTAGTTCTGCGATTTATAAGTGACTTAAACTTGGAACATAACACTTGGACATAATAACAACATTTGAGCCTGACGTCATGGCAACATGGCCAATGTGGGAATATGGTATATTTTCTATCCATAGAAGTACTAATACAGCTATATAATTTACTATTTTTGTAATTATGCTATTATTCACAGACATGAATCATTAAACAGTAAATGTTAATTAAACCTTTATCTGTGCCTAATGAACAAAACACAGAGAAACTGAACAGACACAGACAGAATGAGTGATACATTTTCCAGGCCTGATTTTAACGTGTTGGCGACCTGTGTGTTTGGGGGCAAAGGAAACAGCAGAGGAAATGCCAGCGTTAGCGTGGGAGAGTGGAGGCTACCTCACTCCATCAATGAGGTGAGCGGGTTTAAACAGCAGTCTACCTTAAAGAGACAGAACAGGACACAACACTGAGTTTCAAGTTGCTATCCTTTTAGTTTACGATAATAGAAAGTTGGAGAATCAAAATCATCATCTGATGTATGCGCAGAATGACTTTTAAAAAAGTGTGTTTTTATGTTTGCGGGACATAGGTAATAAAAGATATCTTACTATCAAGACCATTTTACAGTACAAATGTCGTCTATATGATCAGGTTGCTCAGTCTTGTAGAAACATGTTGAAACCTCTTCAGTTTCTTGAATGAAGGACATTTTAATGTGTGAAAAAAATGGTTTGGAGCTGTTCCAATGACAATGAATGGAATATTTTTCTGAATACTGGATGCAACCCAGGGTGATTTTCCAGGGATATGGACAGATCTTCTGCCTCAGAAATGATCAGTCTAATGCTATTCATGGCTAAGAAAGTTCCAGAGGGATCTATTAATCTCATTTTCCCTGTTGAAAGAGCTATTTTCTTATCATGGATATTTATAGTGTAATATTTGGTATAATATCTTATAATGCAGATATCTAACATGTTTTTGTGTTTTTTTTCAAAAGATATAAAGTCATTGTGTTGGTTTAACCCTTTGCAACTGTGTCCAAGCTTTAAGCTCTTCCTGATTCAGTGATCCAGCAATTAACGTTACAGTTGCACCATAGTCCTATGCTATAAAAAAGATAACACTTTTTTTTCTCCTTTAAATATACCTGCATGTTGTTGTTTATTTAAGCTTTCAGAGTGAGAGCTATACCCTAGGCTATCTAACATCCACTTGAACTGCATCAGAAACACCTACATGTACTATTCCCTTTATCAAAGACCGAAATTATGTAGTCCATAGTGAGCAGGTAAAGGAGATTTTACACACGTTTTTTATTATTATAATTATGACCCTGTGTGATGTCAGCTGAAAGTAGCCTGCTGTTTAGGTCATCTTTTTTCATGCTAGAATACTCTGATGTCTTCTCACTGCTGCGTTTATCAGCAAACAAACATAATTTCATTTTCATTTTTTGGTATAGGGGGACTAAGGCGGTGTTACAACACAGTTGCCCTACAAAAGTAACTCATCCATTCCAGACTCAATTATGACAAGTTTAACAGGACACCTTTTTTCATGTGGCTACTTAAGGTACTGCCAAAAACAAAAGGGAGTAATAACACTTGATCAATCTTAATCAATGAGATTACTATGTGTGAAACTTCTAGAGCCTAGAAATCATCCCAATGTAGAGTCAAATAAAATCACTTGAGTCAGTTTATCCATATAGTAGTATCCCCTCACACAGTCTATAAATAGATGTGATTTGGTTTAGATTTCTCTTTGCAATGTGTAAATTTGCACTGTCGAAAATAAGAGTTTATATTCATTTCAGATGCTGATAAAAGACAGCTTCAAAGGACTGATGCTGTCCACATTTTTTAGCACTACATTCCAACAATTTGTTATTGCTTTATTGCAAAATAAACACAGAGTGAGCATAATGCTACTGCTAATACATGCTGCTGATAGTAAGCCTGATGTTTTGTTTACTTCTAGAGTGAGACAAACACACACAGAGCGGCTACACACTCTCTAAGAGGGCCTGTTGTTGTCCATGAAGGGAGTGGATGCAAGAGGCCTGAAGTTTGCGAGTGTGTCTATGTTTGTGTACTTGCCTATGCATGTATGTATGTGTCTGCGTTTTGTTAGTGAGTGTGTGTCTGTGTGTAATTCACTGGGGGGATAAAGAGTCATTGTCTGCAGCTGGTGCATCCCCCACTCCTCCTCTGTGCAGCTGTGAGGAAATCAAACGCTCCTCTTTTCCCCCTCTCAGCCTCTGTCACAACCTGCTGATGCCTTATTAGGTCATTCATGGTGAGAAGTAGTGATGACCCACTGATGCTCTGTGCAGTTGTGCAGGTTTAAAGCACCATTGAGCTTTTTCAAATAAAGAATCAGGAGATTGAACAGATCAGCATTAAAAAGAAATGAAAAAGTGCTTAATATGTGGGGGGAAATACTGTAGAATGAGAATTGTCAAAATTCAGAAAAAAAAAGTCAATGGGCGAGAAATGAATTGTTTTATCAGATCCATCACACTAATGTGCAAAAATCAACAACAATGTCTTCAGAGATCTGAATCCAGCATGATGAACATGTTTCATCTGTGTGTTAAAGTGCAACCAGTTAATTACCACTTTTTGGGTTCTCTTTTTTTTTCCCCATGTTAAATGTTGGCACCAGGATTAGTTGCATTTTGTCTTTGGGGTAATTCCTATATTCCTTTGGGGTTCATTAGACGAAGCACTGGCGAATGGAGGCTCCCACTTGACAACCGCAGAGATGTCCTGGCTCTTGCTGCCCATCAGTCTGCAGAGTTGAGTTGTGGGGGCCAGAAGGGGCCATGCGGTTAGGTAGGTAGGGTAAGACTCGAGGACAAGGCCTGGGTCTGTTGAAGATGGCATTGCTTTTTGGGTTTGGTGGTAAATAAGGGCCATAAGGGGCACAATTGGGATGAGGGGTGTCTTCATTGAGCGCTTGTCCTTTCATTATGGCACAAGTTTCTCGTGTTTATCTCAAATGTGCTTCTTACCTTTTTTAATGTTTGAGAATCAGAATAAAAACTTTCATGTCTCGCAAACAGGTTGTTCTAAGGAAGTCGTTTTTTTTTAATTGCAGATACCTATTGTAAATCACATTTCTTTTTTCTCTGATATTTGATCATTTATCTTCAACCAGGCCTGACTGCTGAAACACAGTAACAAACATGTAAAATCTGCTAAATAAATCTCAATGAAGCTACTTAGATCAGACAATGTGAAGCAGCAGCTGTTCTGTCCCAGAGAGACAACGCTGAACTAACAGTAGAAAAAGAGGCTTTGACAGGAGTAACACTGTGACACTCTGAAAATGGGTCACTCGCTGTAGTGGCCAGAAGCCAATTCTCAGTGAGGAACATGTCCAGAAATAAATTGGTGAGCCAATGTGTGGAAGTTTGAATGGACTGTGAAAGAGTGAATGAGTGAGTGTGTGTCAGAGATATACTAAAGACACTGCATGACACCAATAAGTTCAGTTCTTCCCTCAGATAGTCATGAAAACACTGAGTATTAACAATAATAAATGAACAGGATGGTTAGATACGACCACCTGAACCACTGATGAACTCTTTCCTTAGTTAGTCCTGTTGGCTATATTTTTTTACTGATGGAATTATCAGTCCGTTTCATAACCATCTTAAAACTCAATGAACTGCAGGATTGTGCTTGTGCCTAACCTATACCTTTAATTGATTGTTATTTTAACCTGAACACACGATTCTTTAAAACAATCTCAGCACAAGTTCTTTTTAGTAGAACCATTTTTTTCCATATGACTATACTAATACATTTTGTCAAGCATTTGATGGGTGATATTATTTATTATTAAGCAAGTTATAACACAATGAAGTCATGAATTGAGGTTTATCTTATTCATAAGTTTCCCACAGACAACATATTTTAGAAATATCCAGAGCTTAAATCATAGTCAAGAGTGTCAGGAGCCTTATCATACCAGTTCGCACTGCACACACTGATTCAACAGGCGATCGAAAATGAGACTTGACTCGTATTTGCATATTTGCCACCAAAGTGTTTTCAATGAATGGAAATGGATGTCGTGAACACAGTCTGGGCTGCAGCCTATCTGTCTCTGCTCTGCGCCTTTAAATCCGTGCGCTCCTCCCTCCCCGCGCTGACCAGCCCGCACTGCCTCTTTAACACATCCAGTGGAAATGACAAACCAGAGGCGCTCCACGGGCCAGCGTGTCAAACAGAAACACTAATCATGGGCATTAGCTGCAGCAACTCTTCCGAAACCCACAAACCAAGACACTAACAAGTTATCTTTGGGCCTTTCGGTTTGGTCTGCGGACGCGTCAGAGTTGGAGCGGACTCGCCAGATGGACGTCGATGGACAGGAATGAATCCTCCGCTACTAAAGGACTGAAGCAAGGAGGAAAAGAAACCTCTGCATGTTTAAGTTTCCTGCTAAAACTACAGGGGCATCGCTTCGTGCGCGTTGGATGTGGGTGCGTGTGTGGAAGTGTGTGTTGGGTGCGTGTGTGTGCGCAAACGGAGGACCAGAAGCGGCAGTGGCGGCGGCGGTGGTGGAGGTGGCCGCGGGAAGGGAAGTTTAGCGCCGTGATTTGTCTTCTTCTTTCCCTCTACTCTGTTGTGTTATTTTCATGCCAAACCGGGGGACAGGCGGATTAAGGTTTCCCTGATGAAAATTAACCATCTGCAGAGGGGCTCTGTGATCGTGACTACGATGATGATGTCGAGTAAGAGCGTGGAGTGGCTGCAGGAGGAGCTGGAGTCCGGGGCCGGCTCTCTGCTGCTGCTGGACTGCAGACCCCATGAGCTGTACGAGTCCTCGCACATCGAGTCCGCCATCAACCTGGCCATCCCGGGCCTCATGCTGCGGAGGCTGAAGAAGGGTAACCTCCCCATCCGCTCCATCATCCCCAACAACGAGGACAAGGAGAAATTTGTCAAGCGCTGCAAGACGGATGTGGTTGTCCTGTACGACGAGGCGAGTCCGGAGCGACAGGAGTCCGGGCTGGGGAGCTCCGTGCTGGGCTTGCTGCTGCAGAAGCTGCGGGACGACGGCTGCAAGGCTTTCTTTTTGGATGGTAAGATCACCGTTTATTTGATTTGAAAGTCTGAGCTTTAGTCCTTTTCTTTCTTAAAAAAAAACAACAACCTCACAGACACAGATTGTTTACCTGCGAGTGACGGAGCCTGCTGTCATTTAAGTGTCCTTAATAGTAAACTATTAAAAACTAAAACAAGAATGATCTAACCTGAATCATTTAATTCAGAACATCTTAGTTGCATTTTGCCTCCTCCTGTCTGTTTGTCTATCTGGAACTTAATCCTTTATAGCATATTCAGAAATGTCATCTTCACATTATAAACCATTAAGTATTAGGCTGTTACTATTTAATTTGTATTACCGATTATTTAAACACCTCACAGACATTCAATACTTACAAATCCAGCTCGATACAAGACAGAAGTCCGCCAATTCTCTGTTATGTATGTCTCATAATAAGGCAGCGTGAGTTTTGTAATAACACATAATAATGTTATTCTAACAGTTATTATATAATGTAACACACGACACGAGCTTTACTGTCACTGTGAGTTCATAGTGAACTTTGACAGGTGCACTTCCTTCACCTTGCCGTCGTGATTTATCGCCATTGGCTTTGATATTAAAATGAGAGCCTCTTTTTGAATATATAAATAATATATACCGCTCGGTATACAGAGCTGTTAAAAAAAAGTGTTTCAGTTAAATGCTGCAGAAAACAGCCCCGCCATGTTTTGCTCCTTCATGAAAAGACAAGCGTTTTTTTTTTTTTTCATGAATGAAGAGGGAAACGAGGAAACGGCGACGCACTCCTCCTGAATAATCCTCAGGCATGGCCACAAAAACCTTAAATCTCTCCCTTTTTAAAAAAAAAACAGACAAAATGGCAGCATTTGGATTTTAAGCTGTGTTTTATTTATAGAAGTAAAATAGATATGTTTCAGCGGAGGGTCTATCCGAGCTGCCATTCACAAAAAGTCCACTGAGCTGAGAGTTTGCTGTGCTGCTCTGCTGCTTGTTCTCCCCAGGGCTCAGCTTTTCTCAATGGAGCACATCTGTCCAGCCTGTTAGATTCATAATGACGTAAATTTCACGTTATTCTCCCATCACCTGTCACATCAGTGCCTGATGCGGTGGTTCATAAAAAGACAGTGTGAAAAAAAAAATAGAAACAAAAATCTTCCTTCAATCTTTTGCTTTTGGAATTAATCTTTAAAATTATTCAGTAAAATACAAGTTTTACACTCATTATGCATTATGCTTTTGTTTAAAATGCTATTATTTGGAGTCTAGACTACATGTTGTCTTGGTCAGGCAGTGTATAGCATAATATTAATAATTTATATTAATAATAGTATTAATCGCTCTGGGAATAACTCGTGTTCCATGGCGTTATCTTTTTGCATAATATTCCCAAATCATCTTTGACTCTTTCAAAAATGTTGGTTAAATTCTTCAATTTTTTGTTTGCTTTTCTGAAAGCTTCATTTTAAATTTCCAATATGTAAAAAGCAGTACAGGGCTTGTGTGGTGCAGCGGTTAGCGCTGTCCCTTCACAACAAGAAGGTGTCTGGTTTGAATCCCACCATCGGGCGAGGGCCTCTCTGCGTGGAGTTTGCATGTTCTCCTCGTGCATGCGTGGCTTCCCTCTGGGTACTCTGGCTTCCTTCCACGGTCCAAAGACATGCTCATTAGTTTAATTGGACACTCTAAGTTGCCCGTAGTTGTGCATGTGAGTGTGCCTGGTTGTTTGTGTCTGATTTACTGGTGTAGCTCGCCTCTCGCCCAGTGGCAGCTGGTATCGGCTCCAGCCCCCCGCAAACCCTGAACAGGATAAGCAGATAATTAATGGATGGAAGAACAGTTCTACAATTTTCATTAAAAAAAAAAGAATATATCGTAATGTTTATCTGAGCTCTCTACAATTTATAAACTCTGTAGACTTAAGCTTCAGTCTTAAATGTTGAGTGACACATGTTGCCTTACAGTCTATGGTTTTGCTGGGCACACTTTTTTCACAACGTATTGATTTTATTTTTCAGTCTTTTTCTCAATATTGACACTTTATCTGGTCTTTTCCTCAAGGTGGCTTCAACAAGTTCCAGTCTGAGTATCCTGAGCACTGCGAGACCAATTTGGACTGCTCGTGTCCCAGCAGCTCCCCGCCATCCTCCGTCCTCGGTCTGGGAGGACTCCGCATCAGCTCTGACTGCTCCGACGGGGAATCAGACAGAGAGCCAGGCAGTGCCACCGAGTCGGAGGGCAGCCCGCTCCCCAACAACCAGCCAGCATTCCCGGTCCAGATCCTGCCGTACCTTTACCTAGGCTGTGCCAAAGACTCCACAAACCTTGACGTGCTCAGCAAGTACAACATCAAGTACATCCTGAACGTGACGCCCAACCTGCCCAACATGTTCGAACACGAAGGAGATTTCAAGTACAAACAGATCCCCATCTCCGATCACTGGAGCCAGAACCTGTCACAGTTTTTCCCAGAGGCCATTTCATTCATTGGTGAGTAGAAGGGAGGACATTTTTAATACAATATTACTGTCTTAAAAAAGAATATTAAAACTGCACACTTTGAGAAGCTGGAACAAGCAAAACATTTGAAATTATAGCGTAAACAATGATTCCAGGATTATTATAAAGTTAGTGATAACTTGTTTTTTTGTCCAGCAACAAATGATATCATGAAATGTTCATTTCTACTTTGGTTATGTTAAAAACAAAGATGGGGGCATGTTACCACTTATTATGAGTTGCATATATTGAAACCATTCTAATAAGTCAGAGATTTCTTTACAGCTCCAACTAAAGATAATGGGATTGCAAAAGTCCAACAATAATTAAAAGATTATCATCATTATATCTCACGAGTTCAAGTCTAACACTTTTGCATTTGCTTATTTGATCACTACATACAGACCAAAACACGAAAATAATGAACTGATTAAAATAGAAAGGAGGAAAACATCAAATATGCATCTTTAAGAAGTTTGTTTGCAACATAAAATGTCTTTATTTACAAATCTCGGTTTCACTCCTGGTAACTGTGAATATAAAATCTCTAAATAAATAGCAACCTCTTGAGTAAAACAAGGGAACACATTCTTTGAGAATGGGGTCACAAGAATGTTACTCCTCATCTTGTCCAAGTTTCAGTATTTCCCATCATTCCCGTCATTCCTTCTCCCTGAATTCTCAGAGTGAGTAAGTTCCCTGTGTGTTTGCCCACCCCCACCACATCGTCTTTTTTCTTATTCTTTTGAGCCTATACTGTTTCTGCTTAGGTGGGAGGAAGTGTGACATATGCCAGAGCCAGAGGTCGTGGCAGATTTGGGTCATGCTGATGTTAAATGATGCTGTCTGACTGGCTGTAATATGCAGGGATTACATCAGCTCTTTTAGCTAACAGCAGGCTAATTATGGGTAAAGGAGACCCAGATGTTACTGTACACAGTTCTCTTTTAAATGTGGATTCCTCAAATATCTGAGATTATTCAATTAATGTGTTTTCTAAAGTTTGTAAAGTAGGAGGAATTAGATTTTTGACTGGCTTTTTAACAGCTGTAGAAGTGGACGATTCTTGTTTGTATTGTATTTAAAGCACAAAAATCTGAGGTCCACATCCAAAATCTGAGCATCAGTTTGGATCAGATTGACTGCTGGTTACTTCTTTGACTTCTGAGTCTTGCTTCATTGGGTTTGGGGTTCCCTCTGAGGATTATTTTGGATCATTTTATTGTGGGAAGTGAGCACACATTACATTTTAATGTAATTTGGCATCAGCTCTGCAGCCTGAGCTCATGAGCCGTCTGACCCCAATCCTACAACAAGAGAGCGAGAGGAGAGAGAGAGAGAGAGAGAGAGAGAGAAAGGAGTGGATGAGAGAAAGACAGAAGGAAGAAAAGAAGCACTTAACTCTTGCTCTAATGGCTCGTAGTGATGTGCGAGGCCTCCACACTGATAGAAGGTGGAGGACGTAGCCTGTGAATAATGTAAGATGTTTTCTTATTCAACTTACTCTACAGACTGAGAGCTCGAAAGCAGAATGAAACCAGACTTTCTGCTGTCATTGAGGAAGGTCATTCAGAAAAAAATATAAATGTAAAAGATATGTTATATGTCTAAAGCACGAGTATGTAAGTGTTATCCTATGCCGTAACTCACTTTGAAGTCAGGCAGCTGACTTTCATTTAAACATGATGGTATCTCTGCTTTTCTGTTGCACAAATGAATGAGTCTAATTTAGCCAAAATTATACAATTACAGTAATGTTTGGAGTATCTTAAGTCATTCCTTTGCTTATTCCAAAATAACATTTAAAGTTAGAAAAATAAAGAAATAGATGGAAGTGGCTTCACATTTAAAAAAATTGCAACTTCCAGGACCCGGTAAATTAAAAAAAAATGCACTGTTTGAAAGTAAAACTGTTCAGACTTCAGCATTAATTAACGAAAAATAAAATGTTCAGATCTTTTCATCTTTAAAGAAAAAAAATGTATGGCTTATTGTACATTGAATTGACTCATTTTGAAGTTCTAAAAATTCAGTTCAATGTTAATAAGGATCCCCGTTCATTGACAGGTCACAATAAGAATATACCATACTCCATGCATTAACTGCTATATTAACATTACACCAGACCTAATCAAATGAAATCATACTTTGATGCACAGACAGAAGTGTTAGCCCTTCCTAAGTAAAGTCTATGTATTGCTTTCACCTTTAAGAAAAAGCTAAAGACCCAGCTCTTTCATGAATACCTCCTAACTTAATGATGATGGTCTCCATATTATTGATGATGATGATGATGGTTGTGATGATGGTTTTTGTTTGATAACGACGACTTATAAGATGGTTTCTATACTGATTAGATCTTTCAAGAACTGCCGTCAATGTTGTGCTTTGCTTCTGTGCAATGCCTGTCAGCACCAGTGTGTCCAATCAGACTCAAAGCTGATCGTTTGCTCTTACTGACATTGTTCCCTTTTTTTGTGTGTGTTGTACTTACTCTCTGATGTACGTCACTTTGGATAAAAGCATCTGCTAAGTGAATTGTAGAATTGTAGAATTCCTTCGGGGTCCAATCAGAGTTGAGCATGCTCCACACCATGTTTAAGATGTTTAAAAGATGATGCCTGGGATTCTGTCAAATCAAAGCCAGATTGTACTGACTGTGTAGAAGGTGCTGGGAAAAGAAAAAACATGGATTCCACTCTGGTGCTTTATATCAGTGAGTCACAGTGTGTATTGAATACAGACTCAAGAGAGTGACAGTAAGGACTACAGCTCCAGAAGTGGAAAAGGGGAAAAAATCTTAGAAATGCAAGAGCAATGTTCCTGACGGTCTTAAACATGTTCTTTCTTTACGCAAAGATTGTGGAGCTTCTTCTTTTTCTGTTGAGATGAATGACTTAACTCAAGTTTTTTGCCTTGTTCAACAACTTGAATATTTAATTCAATCCCTTGGGGGCGGGGGAGGATAATAACAAAATGTAAAACAACTTTGTTAGTTGTTTCTTAAAACCTTCTGTTTCACTATTAGTAGTGTGGGAGAATGTGAGAGGCGTCAGTGAGAGGTGGTCAAATACATAACTAATAACAGTTGATGTTGTTTCAACCATGTTCAAATAATCTGGTTGAAAGTGTTGGTTTTATTTTACCACTATATCATCAATCCTGATTGAATTGCAATTGCAATTGAATTGAATAAGTACAGCTCTTTTTTGAAAAAAATCTTTCTTTCTGGTTTTTAATTGAATAATTTCAGGTCGTACAGCTGAAAGTAAGGTTTTAACTGTAGTCTTACCCACATCTCTCCCCTCTTTTTTTAACTCAGATGAAGCACGCTCCAAAAAGTGCGGTATCCTGGTGCACTGTCTGGCCGGGATCAGCCGCTCGGTGACCGTCACGGTGGCCTACCTGATGCAGAAGCTCAACCTGTCACTGAACGACGCGTACGACTTTGTGAAGCGGAAAAAGTCGAACATTTCCCCAAACTTCAACTTCATGGGCCAGCTGCTAGACTTTGAGCGGACGCTGGGCCTCAACAGCCCCTGTGACAACCACTCGACCTCCCCGACGCACGACCAGCTCTTCTTCACCACGCCGACCAATCACAATGTGTTTCAACTAGACACGCTGGAGTCCACATGAAAATAAGACAGTGGATGGTCCCGTTTTTTTGGAGGAGAAGTGGTGTATTTGCCACGGTATCAAGCGACTACACTGGAGGGAAACACCAGGGTTTTAATGAATGTTTGAGCCTCCCAGTGTCTTGTCGTCTGAGAGCCTGGTCACAGAGCAGCGTTGGAGGGACAGAGGAGGCCACAGATGCCACGTAAAAAAAGAACAGGAGTCTTTTTTTTTTTTTTAAACCAGAAGGGGATCTGATAGACAGTTTACAATAGCGTTCTCCTTGAAAGTGATTGAAATCGAGGGAGAAGGAGCCCTGATCTTCTTGTTTTGTAACAAAGAACTAAGGAGATTTAAGTGACTGAAAGACTGCAGCAGCTTCATACAAAGATAGAAACGTGGAAAAACCTCCAGTGCTCGATTTTCTGAGACGACAACATCCTCTCTGTCTTTCTGTCTCGGCTCTCGAGCTGAGCTGACTGGTGCCAAGTGGAGAATCTGGGATTTACTTGTCGGAAATCTCGCTCTACTGAATGTAGAGTTTAAAAACCAAGGAATTAACACACACACACACACACACACACACACACACACACACATAGTATGTATGTTTGTACTGTATGTATGTAAACGTACATAGCAGCAGCAGTCCTTAACAAAATCAGTATGTCTTTATGCATTTTTGTATATTTTTGTGTACATTTACGCACAAATCTATACCTTATATAAATATATACGCATAGAAATCTTATCTATCCAATCCAATAATGGCTTAAAGGAATGTAAAACTAAAGAAGGGGAAGAGGTGTGCTCACACAAACAAAAAGGAACGTTTTGAGTGATATTCGTAGTTGTCTTTTATTTTTTATGTCGATTTTTTTTTTTTCTTTTTTTTCTGTAGGTTTGTAATGACCTAATGCAGTTTGCACAGTGGTGTAGCCACTGACTTCTTGGCACTTGATGCAGGCAGATAAAGAGACATTCAGAGGAGAGAGGCCAGTCCCAGGCTGCGATGAGTCCCGACAGCTGCACAGAGGAGCAGGGAGGGAGCAGGAGCTGGGACCCCGGCAAAGGAACGAGTTCTGGGGGGTTTAGAGGGTACCAGGGCACATGGGGCCAGGGAATCGGGGTCCCGTAGGAGGGAAGATAATACAAAGATCTGGAAATGTTTGCCAACATCTTTAGGCCCCAGTTTCTACTTCCTTTCTCAAAAGACTTCATTAGTCCAGTTGCCTAATAAGAGGCACCAGTTGTTTCCACCAGATGTTTTTTTTTCCAGTTAGAAATTAAAATCTAAATTTAAAAGTTGTTCCAATACCAATACTGCCTAAAAAAAGTATGCCAAAAACAAGCAACAACAGTGTGGTTCTAGCAAAGAGTTAAATGCTAGGTAAAGCTAGCAAAATGTTAGAAATTACATGTCTTTCCATTTATTTTATGTGCATTTTTTATTACAAAAGTATCAGAGGGTTACTTGGTATGAGCCAATATTCAGATAGGTACCAGATTCGGTATCAGGAAGGCAAAAGTATCAGAACATCTTTAAAAAAACATCCATGTTTTCTTTTTCTTTTTTTCAAAATGGTCTTTTTAGGTTTTCACTTTCCCAGTCTAGGCAGAGACTTTGAATGAAGAGTTAGCGGTGTTGATAGGGGACGCCAAGGCAGCGCAGACATTTCTGAGCAACATTCTGGGCATTAGGCAGTGCCTCATACTTATATTTCCTTTCCATATTTCCTGTTCATTTAGGATTAACGGGTACAGGTTTACCAAAAAACAGGACTATGATTGTAATGTGGCCTCCTTGTTGGGATTGTGTTGTTGTGAACTGGGACTGGCCTCAGCTACAGACTGCACTTAGCTACTTAACATAGCTACACGTCCACCTGCATTGGAATGCAAAGAGAAAGATTTTTCTATCAAGAGATCGCTCGTTTTGTCAAAGAAAAGTTTGTTTGAGTTGATTCACCCTTAAGCCTTGGGTATATAGTATAAAAGATATATTAAAACACAAATGGATACACATAAATATATATATCATAGAGCTTATAGTAAACAGATCTATATTATTTTGTATACCTGAGCATGCTGTCGTGCCGTATGCTCTCTAACAGTAGACGTAACCACGGGTTTGATGTTGCTTTAAGAGGCGGAAGACGAATGATGGGGACTGTTTTTTTAACTGCTGTTGCTGCTGATCACAGCGGTACACAGCATGTGGCAAAGAGTTGTCTGAGACCCTGTTCACATCCGAAGCATCTTATCAAGAATGATGCAGACAGGTTTTTTTTTCAATCAAGGTTTCCCATTTTAAGCCCATAAGCGTGTTTAAGTCCGACCTGATATTCCTCCATGATCATTTGCATAATTGGCACTTCAGAAATGCTTTATAAGGCTACCTGGTCTTCTCAATTTGTGTAATTTTAAAATATTACAGTGATTGATTTGACATATGCTGTAAAAGCTTCTTCTAGCTGTAGAGCAACGCAGTAATTATAGAGAACACAATAAGGCCACAGGTGCTTAAGAGGGACCAGAAAAATGATGCTAATGTAGCTATGAGCATGATACTTTTTTACTTGTGCAGAACAAATCTGCATGGATTAACCTGTTAAATTGTAAACTTAAATTGTTTGCCAAATAGTTTTATACTTGATGTATTGATTTGAGTATTTTCTCAGACCAAATAAAAATCCTTACTCATGTAACTCAGTAAGTATTTTTAGGTTTCTATTCTCCTCTCGGATAGCTTCCAGACCACTGGAACAATTACTGCTTTAAGAACATCTAAGTGATGTTCAAACTATATGTAAGGGTCTCTCAGGCCCTTTGTTGGTCATAGGAAGACCTTTCGTTGAACATCAATAGAAAAGTTAAAGTAGAACACTTCAGGACAAATGTTTTTATATGATTTTTGTTTTTGCATGAGGCCCATAATTTAAAGCAAACCTCAGAAATCTGCTGTCAAAGCCTTGATGTGAACAGGGTCTACAAGAGACAAAGAGCTGGGTTTCAGAGGGGACAGCAGAAGCTGAACAGGGTTGATTTAAGCTGGCCTTATATACTCTTTCTAACTTGTTTCTAATGCTGACTGTTCAATACTTTGTATCTCACTTTAAAAAAAGAAAACCTTGTGTAAGACAAGACACATTTGTTTATCTGTTATTTGAATCATAATATGGTAACAACGGACATCGAGCTGTCTTTGTACCATAACGGGTCACACGAGGTCCTCTTTGTTACTCTGCAATATATCAAAACACCTTTTTTTTGCAGTATTTTGTAGATCCAAGACCTCAAAGTTTTTAAATCTTCTTCTTTTGTACTATATCTATTCTACATTAGTATACAACTTACAGCTCAGTATGGCTTGTGGACTGAAGTAACATTTCACCTGGGGTGTCCAAATTGTTTGCCCATTAGCAACCTGGAAGAGGCTATGACATATACTTTACACACACACACACACGCACACACACACTGCTTCACACAGCCAATAGCTGTGGTTTAGCATCCCCGTTATGATCCACAATAGATGATAACACCCCCAGGCTTTAATCATTACAAGGTCTTTTTGCGTCTTGTTTTAATATGATGTGCTCTATGCTATTCCTGTGGCCTTTCAATATGAATATATATCTAAGAATATATATGTAATGAATTTATATGCAAAAGTTCCTCTCCTATCATAGCATCAGAGACCATAATATCAACCATGCTTAAATGGTCTCCCCTTGTCTGTAGTCAAATCCCTATTACAGGAAGGAAATTGTTAAGGACTTGACCACCTGCACCCTAGGATTGAAATATATTTCAGTACGAAGCTTTTCTATTTCAAATGAGAAACGGTTGATTTTCACGATGCTTTCTTGTGCTTTTTGTGTCTTTGTAACAATGAAAGAGAAATCAAGTCTTTTTCTCTGTTTGTAAATTTGCCAGATCATGGGAACGGCTGTTTCTGTGTCCTTAAAACTTGTAGCTACATCTCGGTAAGAATGTGCTTGGGAGGGAAAGACGTGAATGAGTGAGAGAGAGCGAGAGAGAGAGAGAGAGAGGGAGAGTGGCAGCAATTAATACAAAGTGAAAGAAAACGTGAATGATTTCTAAAATGTTTACCTCAGTGAGGAATTTTTCAGGGATTTTTTTGACAATGCATCTTGCATCGTGTTACAGCTTCAAACACACGTTGACTAGCTGTTTTGTATTGTGCTGTAAACACTTTTTAAAAACAGATGCAATCTGTCTGTGTATAAAACAAGGGGCATGTTAACGGGGGCGGTTTCACCTTTCTGTCTGCTGAAGGAAAAAACGTTTGACCCGGTGTAATGTACAGTATATGGAAACAACACATGACATGTTTATACTGCAAATAAATACTGAAATATTTTTTTTCTTTAACATGTGTTTCCTTCATTCATTTCCCACTGAAAATGAAATAAAACTCACTTAGAGTCGCAGTCAAAATAAATGTAAAGAACCTGTCATTATAACGTTGATCAATATATTAGCATCTTCCGCGCTAGAGTATTTGTTGGATCCATTTTTGATTTATATTTTTAGTAGGTTATACTGTAATGCAACATATTATTTATCACCCATAATGATAAGTTGTATGCAGCTACGAGGACATTGTTAAAAGCAGAAATAATTTATCCACCGGCCGTTGAAAATGACTATTTTACAGACTATACTTGACTCATATACATGCATATATAAATGGGTACTTTATTAATCCTTTGCAGGAAATTATACCGTCACATAATTTGATTAGAACTGCAATCACAGTCAAGACACCACACAAGAAACGTTTCATATATAAGCATTCTTTATAAATGTAAATATATTGTTTGTGAGTATGTGAAAAATATATCTACACTCTGACAACAATAATAGTAATAGGTAAAAATAATACAATAAACATGAAAACATAAATGCAATATACTGAATAAATTCAGTAACACTTTCATAAGTAATATGTGTCTTGAAATGCAAAATCACAAAAAGACATTTTATTTACTATAGAAATGCAAAAGGATCCATAACATGTAATATATAGTTTATAATAAACAGAATTTGTCCGAAAACATAACTCTTATAAAGACATTTTATTTTCTGTAACTGTTCATCTATTGGACCATGATCATTCATCTGGACACCAGAATCTACTCACGAGGGCCTCTAAGTTTGAACGCCTATATCTGCAAATAACTACCACTTACACATAACTAATGCATAATAAATTAGTTTAAAAATATGAATATACTTCTTAAGAGTGAGACTTTGGTCCAGGCCTCAAAGAAGTATTTAAGTTATAGAGAAAATATTTATAGCTATAAGACTTTGGCAACTGTTTCATTAGTGGTTTGCAAGACTGAAGACTTTCACAAGATAAACTTCTTCACACGCTCTCACACGGCTCATCTTGTGCATGCCTCTGCGTTAGTTTCTAAGGTTTCCTGCAGGTTTCCGAAACTGAACCCTTTATCTTATCTTCTAATACACCACTATGCGTGTGCCTGGTTATGGAAAAAAAACTAAACAACACAAACAAAAGTCCTGGTCACAGTCCTTAGCTGTTGATAGTCTCGTGAATTTTGCCATTTATTTGTATTTCACAACAGTAATATCATTAAATTAATATTTTGACATTTTGGCAAATATGTAAAAAAAAATGTACCACTGTCTCTACAGCTAATAATATTAGTGCTCATTTATTAGTATATCTCTTATTTTTAGATAAAAAACTATAAAACGTATCTGCTCAGCTATTTCAATGATTCTTCACTGGTCACTCAACAACTGCTACTTGCCAATATTAGCCAATAAGTCAACACATAAAAAACAGACTGATAATTTATATATATATATATATATATATATATATATATATATATTGTTTTTTTCCAAAAAACATACACACTTCATCACAGAGGTTATTATAGTCATTAATGTGTAATCTTCATGGTCTAGTAGAAGCCTACCTACCTTCAGATGTGGCTTTTTGAGCAGGAACAGTAAGCTAGCTTGTTAACATTAGGCTATGGTAACAAATATTGGTTGTTATATTCCCAAATATTTCTTGAAGTTTTTGATGGTTGCTTTACAACTGCTTATGGCTAAAAAATCTAAACATTATATTGCTGACAGACGTTTATAGTTTGGTACTTTGGAAATAATTTAATAAAGAAGTGCAGTAGGTGATTGAAGGTTTTCATTTTGACAACAAAGCTAGGCTAGTTGTTTCCCTTGTTTACAATGTAGCCTATATGCCTAAACAAACTAACTGATTCTGCTTTATAATATCTTAATTGTACAGAGGCTTATTTGTAAGAGAGCAAAAAATGAGGCGCACATCATCATTTGTACCAGAATACAGTTTCTTTATTATGTATATTGGCAGTAACTCTAGCTGTGCCGCAGAGAAAGAGGAACTACAACTCTCTTTCTCTTTCAACTTCATTGTCCAATACCTGCATGTCCATTAACTGTGCCCCCATATAACCTTAACTGCATTGTCAATCCCTCTCAATTAGAGGCTATAATGGCACATGTACACAAAAACTGACAGCGAGGCAGAGTGCGAGAATCAGCTGAGGGGTTGGTGGAAATAAAAAAGAGCATCTTAGAGACAGCGCTGTGAGCTGAGCTGAGCCGGCTATAAATATCTTCCCCTCATCGCTCTCTCCTCGTCTCCTCCAGTGCTGCTCTCGCTTCTCTTCCCTCCACCAGCTCCACTTCGATATAGTATGACTTCCTGCACCACCACACCATCAAGTGAGCCGCTCGCTTCATGGTGATTAAGACAGGATATTAACAGTGGCAGCTCAGGTGGAATAACGGAAATGAAGACCCTCCTGTTTGAAGAGATGGTTGGGGGGGGGGGGGGGGGCAGGATGACTGTAACTAACGACTGATTGCTCGCTGGTTTCCTGGCAGCCTAATGATACTTTTCCACATGCCCATCATCTTCAAGGCTGCTCATATAACAGGACATTTTTTCGCCTCTAATTTCAGGTAATTAAACAAAGGTTTCAATAAAACAAATGTTTCCCAGTATCCAGGAAGGTGAATAGCAGCAGTACAGATTAAAACGTTTCCAAGAAATAATGAGCAGCCATGGGAACATACATGACTATAATAAAAACTGTATCAACAATCATATATAGGCTACAATCTGTGCCTGTTTGTAAGTCATTTAGAATCTACTTTAACACATCCAATGAGACCAGTTCATAAAGTTTCAGGTCTTTTGTCACTCATTTCAAAGGGAGCACCAAACTTAAACTTATTTTTCCCCATTTCATTTCTGATCTAAACAGACAGTAAGAGTGAAGATATTATATTTGAAAGTAGGAAGGAAGCAGTCCGTAATTAAGAAAACATCTGTGTTTTATATTTACAGACATGAAAAACCATCCATCATGTGCATACAGCAAACATTGATGAGTAAGGACACAAAAACATTAAAAGTCTGGCAAGCTGGTCTGTTTCTTTTAAATGTAATTTACTTACCCAATTATCACTCTCTCTACCAGTCAGTGCTATTCAGCTTATCAGTCAGCATTGCATTAGCCTTGTCCAGACCAATATCCCTGGGCGGCATTAGCTCAGTCTAAAGGGACTTGGATTGGGAACCGGAGGGTCACTGATTCAAGTCCCTATACAGACCAGAGTATGAATATTGGTCCAGTGCTTGAGGGGTGCAAGGTCACTTCCGGGGTACTGCTGAGGTGCCCTTGAGCAAGACACACAACTCCATCCAACTGGTACTTGTCATGTTCAGCACAGGTCAGATCTTCAAGATGAACAAATAACGACAGGTTAAGGCCTCAGTCTACTTCAATCTTCCATTTCCTGTCAACAGGAACACTTCACGATATAATGGCCTTGTTGCTGTCTAATATGTACACATTCAGAAATATACATCCTGCAGTAACAGTGGGTTCAAGCTACTTCAGAGAAAGAAACTGGGCCAAAGTGTTGGTTTATTTTCCAAACAAATGTACGTTATTTATCAAATGTTTAACTAGAACTAGAAACTACAAAACTATAACTAGATTTCATGTCTGTGTCACTCAATTGTTACCCAGTTGTCAATAGCTTTTTTCAAACTGTCGAACCATGTGAAGAGCTGTAAAACAAGATTATACAACCAACATTGCTGAAAGTGAAACATCACCAACCAAACTCCTTCTGTTAAGTAATTTTGAAATGAGCCCAGTGTGATCACAGGGAGGATGTTTGATCACAGCACAGAGAATAAAAAGTGTCAATATGGTCAGGATAACAAATCTTTTGCTGGAGTAATCAGTAGATCTGTAAAAGAAATCTGCCTGTTAACTTTTCAATTCAACAGTACTGTCATTTCTATGTCTGTTTTTAGAATAACAAAGTTAAATCTTCTTGATTTAGGATGCTGATTATACACCCAGTGCTGCACACATTTATTTTGTTAGGGGCCTCTGTCTTCTTTCTATGAGATTCCCGTCTGATTGACAGAAGTGAGATTCTTACTATCTGACACATTCTTGACATTGACAAACACACAAGCTCAGTTCTAGTTGCTTTTATAATAGCCTCACTCTTTTCGGCTCCTTTAATGGGCTCAAATAATTACAGTAAATAGCTGCAACAATAGCTCCCGCTGCTGCAGTACTTAGGCGAGCCCTGTCCTCCCACTGCGAGTGGTACTGTACTGTGGTGCACTGTACTCTCTCTGTTACAGTTATATAAAGAACCAGTGCTGCACTCTCTCCAGCATCGCACCACTTCAAGAACATAATGAGAGGGGAACTGGGAGGAAGTGGAGGCAGAGTGGGGGTGAGAGTAGTGAGTTCATGTTTCATCACAGTAAGACTACATACCTGTGAAGCTTGACCCTTAAAACCAGAGGGAAAACAGACGATGACATCAGCTTCATGGACATTTCCAGTCTTTATCACACGGTTTTGTTAAATACTCCATTCTGATTGTTCATTGACAAGCACTGCAGCCAAAATTAAGTACAAAGAGAGAGAAATCCAGCTGTTAGTGTCAATGTACAATCACATTACTTTTCAAAGCAACAAAAACTATACCTTAAGCCTTTGCATAGAAAAAGGATGGACTGTCACAGCTCTGAGAGGGATTAATAAATATTAATCAGTGCAATCACAAACTGGAAACTTTGCACGATGGCGTCACTTCATTTTGTAGATTACTAGTATTTTTTATTTTCTAATTTTGGGATCAAACAAGTTCTGTCTTTTCTTGTCTTTACTGCAAACTGGTAACATCATTTTCTTTGCCAAGAATATCTTTAAACAGACATTCTCTGGGTTAAAGTCTGTACACTTTCCAGGAGTACCTTTATTTTGTTAACTGACACACTGTGTGATGGTTTGCGCTCGAAAGCAATA